TCCACCATAGATGGCGCTGCACCGCCAGGTGAGCTAGAAAGCTCACACGTGTTGGTATTTTTCCACTACTCCCAAGGTATCACCTGGGACTAGGAGCAGTTGACCAATCCAAGAATGACACGTCCGAAGCAGGGTCTGTTTCCTATATAAGGGATGGGTTCCATCTTATCTGGGTCTCCGCCATGTTGGCTGATGCCCGCTCTCCCAAGGGGCATTAAAGCTTTACTGCAGAAGTATCCTATGTGTACCGCGTGGTTCTTGCTGGCGAGACGGTAGCGCGGGACAAAGTAAAGTTTTCTTAACTCGGGTATACTTAATAAATGACGGTCCTCAAACTCCTCAGGGATCTGCTGGATGTGCCATTTAAAATGTTTAATGGAAAAAGCTCGCTGTGATAGAGAGAACCGCTACTCCTAGCAGTGGTCCTAAGGTCAAACTGACCCACGCCTCACCCACTACCAGGGTTCTGCCCAAACTGTGGGCACTGCTGAGTCGGCTGTGACCCCTCGAGGCACACTGGTTCTCAAGTTCCCTCTTCCACAGAAAAGCCTCTCAGATCTCTGGGGCTGGCAGCCGAAGGCCAATGCTGTCCTGTATGGGAGCTGAAGAGTTTTTGGTTTTGTTTTTTGAGACAAGGTTTCTCTGTGTATCTTTGACTGTCCTGGAACTCACTCTGTAGACCAGGCTGGCCTCAAACTCAAATACTTCTGCCTCTGCCTCCGGAGTGCTGGGATTAAAGGCGTGTGCCACCACCTCCAGGCTGGCTGTTTTCTAAGTGTGGACTTAAAAGTGCTTCTCATTGTGTTTAAGACATCTGTCCAACCTTTATACACCTGAGGAAAATGTGTTCATGCTTTTAACTCAAAATCATTGTTTTGGGTCCCCAGGCTTTTACTATGGCTTGAAGGCGGGAGACAACTGCTTTTTCTTCAATGTGCAATTCAGTACAGATTACAAAGAGTGATAATGCTAAATATATTTAAAATTTTTATCTATTTTTGTAAACTTAAAAAATTCTTGTAAGCGTCAGGATGTCGTGAGACTTGGATCCATTTCTCACAGGTCAAACAGACTTCAGACTTCAGATAAGTAGACCTTATCTGAATCAACAGCCTCAGTGTCCCCACCTGCCAGAGGGTGGGATTTCTTTCTCTCTCCTGGTCTTGGGACACCCCTCCCCCACCTCTCCCCCTACTGCCACTGCAGCGACCAGGACAAGGCCAGGAAGTTTCAAATATATACCCAAGATAAAGAAAAAATTTCCATTAAGCTCCTTGACTTTGACTTCGGTCCCTAGTCTATCCTCCCCCCTGCAGATTTCCAATCAGATGGAGAGTCAGGCAGCTCCAAAATGACCTGCAAAGCTCCAGCCCCAGATGTTCCTTTGAACCTGCATCCTAGACTGCTCCAAAGCAGCCTGCACTTCACTAGTCCCAGATGGTCCCTCGGAACCTGGGCAGTGAGCAAAACGGATGTCCTCCGGTTTATGTCCTTCTCTCTTCCCAGCCTTTGACCAACCTTCCAGCCTTCTTGGGCCCCAGTGAGGTCCCAATTTCAACTAAGAAGCAGTTACAGCAGAGATGACATCACCCATTATCATCAACAAAAAAGCTGGAATGTCAGATCCCAAAGAAAGCCCAGGCAAATGGCTAACTGTGGTTCCTTTTCAGCCTACCAAAGCCAGATTCTCCATTGCAAGTACCTGATACAGAGGCCTGATTCTTCTCAACACTTCTCGCCCCACACCCTACCCCAAACCTCTCCAACCCCTGAGCTTGTTTCCCTCCACCTGGCTTGATCCCTATATAACCCAGCCATTTTCACCACATGCTCTCTTGCTTTTGCCTTGTCCTCCTGGTCCTCGGCGCCTTTCCTAGTCCCATTTCTTGCCTCTCACTCTCCCTCCCTCTCTCCTCTCGTGGCCCAGTCTATTCTGCTGTCCATGATCAGTCTAGACTCTTCCAGATGCCTCTGGCTGTCCTCTCCCTCATGTCTATGATAAAAACCTTCTCCCCAGCCATACCAACGTCCTCATTTTCACTCAGCTTCCACGTCCTAGGCACTCACTGTGTCAAGCTTTCTGGCAAGTACTTCCTGTGAGGGGTCACATCCTCCTCCTATGAGAGGACCATTCACACCCCCATGAGGAAACCCACTGTAGGAGAGTGCCCAGAGTTCAAAGCCCTAAGTGGCAGAGCTGGGATCCAAACTCCAGCCACCCAACCTGTTGCTTCCCTTGATGTTAGTCAGCTGTGCCCCAGGCCGCGTGGTTCCTCCCTCCCCCAGGTATGAATACATGCTTTCATCTCCTAGCAGAGGAGCAGCCCAAGCAAGGAGGAGCCTGGCTCTGGGAGGAATACTTCTCTAGATTTTAGACCTGGGACCACCCTCAACCCAAGTCCACGGAGGGAAGCGAACCCCTAATCCCTCCCACTGCCAACCACTCCATCCTCATACCTCCTACCCACCAATGGCTCTGCCATTTGCCCCAACGACCCCCTTATCCCTGGACTCTGAATACTGGGCAGAGGAGAGGAACAAACAGTCAAGACAACGTATTTTATTTTTTCCAATATTTTTATTAATCAAATATTATAAAATAACTATCATCCATAAATGCCCAAGCACCTAGCTAGTCCTCTCACCCCGAAGTCCTGAAACCATGCCCTCCTTTGCCCCTTTTGCCTCTCTGCTCCTGTTTGCCCCTGATCCTACTGGGAGGAGGGTGGGGCAGAGCTGGAAGCAGCAAGGACAGCACAAGGCAGACAGCTACAGCTTCACTGGACAAGACTGGAAGGGGTCGGCTCTGAGACACCCTTTTCCAGCCAGCTTCCCCACCCATTCTTCAGATCATTTCCCATAGTCCTTTCTGCTCTTCCCCTACTACCAAGAGCTTGGCCCTTCCCCCACCAGGTCCCTGCATATCCTTTCCAGCCCCAGCCCACCCCCTGAGCTCCCCTGGGATGAGGACTTTGGACCCAGAAGCTCAGCAGAGCACCCTAGAGGAGGGCACAGAACCCATAGGGAAGGTTGTCCTGAGCCTGAACCTCACAACAAAGAGGAGAGGTACAGGCTGGGGAATGGGGTGGTAGGCGTAGAGAAGAGTTTTATTTCTATGCCCAGGACTTCTAAAATCCCCTACCTCCAGTAACCCCAAAACCCCCCAACAAGTTCCAAGCAGAAGCTCTCAGCTCCGAGCAACAGGGCTCTCCATCTTCACACTCTTGGCTGCTTCTCCAATCAACTCCCAGAAGCTTCCAAACTCCAGCTTCGAGTCATTACAGTTGCCCAGGTTGGCAATTTTCTCTTCTAGCCCACAGTTGCTCTGAGAACAGGAAAGACACCACAACTCAGCAAGACTGCAGCTCCAGAGCCTCCTGCCCCACCCTGGCCTAGGGCGAATAGGAGGACAGGAGCCTACCAGGTGTTGGCAAAGGGAAAGGCAGGGGTTACCAGGGCCAGGTGGGTGGGGTCTTGGAGCACCAGTTTGGGAAGTCAGGGGTCTGGGTGGGGTGGGGTCCTCTCCCTCAGTACCGGCATGAGGTGAGGCAGCTGCTGGGTAACCAGGTCTCGGAGTTCAGTAGGGGTCAGCGTCTCCTTTCCGCCCTCCACCGAGTACTGATGGAAGTTCCTAATGAGAGTCTCGATGGCCTTCTCTACATCACTGAATTCTTGGGCATCCTGAAGATGGGAGACACAACCCATGTCAGGAGGACCCACCCACCCTGCAAAACCATTCTCAGGAGTCTTGGAAAGTCAACAGGATAGAAAGCAGCTAGAAGACACTCTTGAGTCCAGAATCCTGCCCCCACTCCTTCTTTCCCTAGCCCAGCCTCCAGGCCACAGTGACCTCTGCCCTAAGCCACAGATTAGGTAAGCCTCACCACCCCAAATCCTAGGCAGGGCAGGCCCCAGCATGTGCCTAGACATCCTATTTCCAAAATAACTCCATTTGCATCACCCTGTGGAACCCTAGGGAGGAGATTTGGGGCTTTCTGGCAGTATCTATAGGGCAAGGCCCAGAAAAGAAGCAGAAGTCATAAGAAGAGAAGAGTGTAGGAACAAAAAGACCGGCCAGATGAATGGGCCCACCTCGGCGTTGGCTGACCGACACTGTCCCATGGTGCCTGGTGCACTGGTCCTCCGGTGAGTTACTTTTGTTGTCTGTCCTATAGCCTGCCCCACAGGAGCTGATGGCTCATGATCTGCCTAGAGCGGGGAGGACTGAAGTGAGGGGAGAGAGCTCTTCATTCTCTTTCTCATGCCCGTTTTTGGCTTCACCCAACATTTACATTCACCTAAGCCATTGGAGTCTACTCCCCACAGATCCAGTCCCTGTCCAAACTCCAGTAGCTAAGGGCACAGCCCCCAAGCCCAACCCACTCAGAGGGAACCCCCCCTGGGCCTCACCTCAGCCTCATTCTTCCCATCTCCTCCAGCCACCCCTGAGAAACTTGGGCAAGAGAGGCATGGAGTACTCCCTGAGGAGAGACAGCCCATCTAGGTTGAAGGAACTGGGCTTTCTTACCTGCTGGCAGCTGCAGAGACAGGATGGAGGAGCCAGCTCACCTGAGCTCAGCTCTTATACCTGGGGGAAGGGAGGGGCAGGCAGGGGCAGGGCCAGGGCCTTCTCCCTTAGCCACCCCAACTATTGCAGCCTCCTGGGCTGGGAGCCAGCTTTATGCGCCCCACCCTCCCTCTAGAGTTCTAGACTCAGTCCCCACCCAGACAGAGAGGAGGAAGCCATGGAGGGCTGGGTATGGGATACCCCTGGCACAGGATCGCCTTGCAGAGTCACAGGGAAAGAAGAGAAGGAAGACAAGGGGGTGCAGAAGGAATCATGCCTGGGAGGAAGGGAACCTAGCAGCTAGGAGGCAGGGAAGAAGAGGGAGTCTACACGGAGAGGAGAAAGAAGGGTTGATCAGGGTGGGTTTGCAGGATGAGGAGCCTGAAAGAGATCCCCGGGGTCTCTGTGCTTTGACTCTCTTCTCTCCTCTCCCTCCCAGCCAGAGCTAATTTGGCTAGGAACGCTGGGCCTGCTGAAACCCAGAGCCAAGGCAGTCCTGACAGCATACAGATGAAAGGGCTGAAAGGAAGGCCAGAGCAGTGCACTCTGGGACTGGGAACCAACTGCTCTGAGCCTTCCCCTGATATCCTGCCAGGGCCTTGCAGCAGCCCAGGTTACACATGTGCAAGGCTCAAAGGCGTTCCCTGGCAGGTAACAACCTCTCCAAACTGGTTAGGCTGCTACCTCCTCCCTCCCTCAAAAATCCTACCTCCCTTCCCAGAATAGCATGTCAACACCAGCCCTCCAATCTACTACCCAGGAACCCCCGGGGGAGTCTAAACTGTTCTTCCTGGGACAACGACCAACTCAACTACCCTCCTCACCTGCCCAGGAACTAGGACCTATAGTCATGGGGAAGGACACACCACGGTGAAAGGACTGGGGGCCTCTCTCCTTGGTGTCACCTGTTGGAGGTCCCCTGCATTTCTGGTCTCAATCGGGGACTCTTCCACAGCAGTGGCATTTGGAGAGCTCCTCTGAAGGGCTTCTCTGGAGACTCTACAAGGGTCTCGCCATCAGAGGGCTTCTCAGAGTCCCTCAGCCTTGGTTCCCACTGAGGAGTCTGGAAACCTCTCAAATTCTCTGCCAGCGTCCCCTCGGAGAGCCCGGGGATGCCTTCGGAGGTCCCTCTGGGGCCTCTTTCCTGGTTCATGATGACTGATTTGTCTCTGCTGATCTTCCTCTGGCTGACTAGCTGCCCCAAGTGGACACCCACAGTTACAGCAGTGGCAACCCAAGAGGCATACATCATTGCCACACCCCTACTCTCTCTAGCGGTGAATTGTATAAACCACTTGCCCCTCAAGTCAGAGAGCTGGGTGAGGACAGCTCTGTCCCTAAGTGCACTCTCTCCCTGTCATATTTGAGCAGCATTTCTCCAGGCCAGGTCTAGCTTTGTTACCTTAACCTCCCTAAGGAGTGGTAGCACACCTGCTATTGACCCCAGCACCTGTGAGGCTGAGGAAGGAAGATTGCTGAAGACAGTGAGACTCTATCTTAAAATAATGACAAGGGGGCTGGAGAGGTGGCTCAGTAGTCAGGAGTACCAACTGCTTGTTCTTCCAGAGCACCTACATGGCAGCTCACAACTATCTTGGAGTTACAAACTCTAAGATCTGACAGCCTCACACAGATACACATGCGTGCAAACCACCAATAAACAGAAAATAAAAATAAATAAATTATTAAAACAATAACAACACAAGAAGAAAGAAAAAAGCTAAAAGAGGGCTGAGAGTTAACTAGGGTAATATGGGTAAAAGGTTTAGCAGGTATTCGTATTATCATCATCAACCAAAGAACAAACTCCAGGAATTATATAGGGAAAACTGGAAGCTGAAGCCATGGAGCTGAACCCCAGGAGCTGCCGGCCTCCAATCTCTGTATTTTTCACCCAACAACTATGTGTTTATTGAGCACCTACTTAACGCAAGGCCTATTACTATGCCACATGTGCTCAAGGACCTGAGTTCTGTCCTCAACCCCAAAGGGATGAAAACCATCACACAGTCGGTAGGATGCTAGATGCTGTGGGATACATGAGCATGAGCCACATTCCTTGCCTTCAAAGTGCCTTCAATTTTCATGTTTTCACCTCAGGTAAAGACGGAGCTTTCCCATTTCCTGGTGTCCAGAAAAGGAATCTGGGTAGAATATAAAGACAAGCCTCTGTGTTTCAAGAAGGAAGCTTTATTAGGGGGAGTGAAGTTCTGCCTGGCCCTGCCCAGCAGGCCCTGCTGGGCCCCCATCCCAACAAGCAGGCTTTACTTCTTCTGACAAGCAGGCTTTATTTCTTCCGGATCTCCAGGGCTTTCTCCTTCCTGATTTCCTTTGCCAGTTCCCCAATCAGTCTCCAGTACTCATTGAACTTCAGCTCCGAGTCCTGGTTCACATCCAGGCTCTTCATCTTCTCATCCAGAGAGCCCACGTCCTAAGATGTAACAGAGAGAAGTGCCATCAGGTGCTTCCGTCAAACAGCACCAACACACACGAAGGGTGGGGCTACGGACCCAGGACTGCCCTGCCGGAGGCCCCACAGCGAGGGACACAGGCAGACACTGCGGCTGATTGTAAATTACCCTCCTCCTCCACAATACACTCCTGCTCATCTGCATTGTCCTAACGTCTCCTCGATTTTGTCATCACCTGGCAGGTCAGAGGAACAGCGAAGATGCTGGGTTATCTGGTTTACTAGGGTGCTCTCGACAAAACATCTCACGGCTATCAGACCAATGACTTCTGTAAGCCGGACTTCGTGATAAAAGGATTCGCTGCCAGATAAACAATTACAACCATAAATGTCAGGGCTGAATAACTCACGGATGTCTAATGGAAAGATGTCTCACATAGAGCTTGATTCTCAAGACTAAGGTTTTGGGGGTTTAGACTCATTCATTTTATTGTATATGTGTGAGCATTTTGCCAACATGTGGTATGCATGTATACCACATATATGTCTGGTGCTCACAGAGGTCAGAAAAGAATTGTCTTAGTTAGGGTTTCAATTGCTGTGAAGAGACACCATGACCACGGTAACTCTTATAAAGGAAAACATTTAATTGAGGTGGCAGCTTACAGTTCAGAGGTTCAGTCTATTATCATCATGACAGGGAGCATGGTGTCATGCAGGCAAACATGGTGCTGGCTACATCTTGATCCGAAGGCAACAGGAAGCAGAGTCTCACTGGGCATGGCTTGAGCATATATGAACCCTCAAAGCCCGCCTCCACAGTGACACACTTCCTCCAACAAGACTACAGCTACTCCAACAAAGCCACACCTTCAAATAGCGCCACTCCCTTTGGGGTCCATTTTCTTTCAAACCACCCAAGGATGCTATCTCAAGAGAAGTTACAGATGGACTTAAGCTACCATTTGGGTGCTGGGAACTGAATCTAGGTCCTTTGCAAGAGCAGTGTGCCTAGCCACTGAGTCATCTCTCCAGCACCCATGCTCAACATCTTGACAAAGATCTGCCAAACAAATCTCTAGATGACACGTAGCAAATTCATAGAGGCCTTTGGTTTTGTTTGGTTTGGGGGAGTGTTTTGATTTGTTTTGATTTTTAGCAGAGTCATAAGCTCACTCATTCATTGCACAGTGCCTCTACTACCAGTGGAAGGGAAGGTGGCAGGGCCACCTCTTACATCCTGGACTCCAGGCATTGTGATATTATACTACCTTTTATTTCATTTGATCCTCGTGATCCACTAGAATGACGACTTCTGTGGCACAAGGACCTTGTCTGCCTTGTTCAAGGCTATATTTTTTTTAAAGATTTTATTTATTTATTGTGTATACAACATTCTGCCTCCATGTATGCCTGCAGGCCAGAAGAGGGCACCAGATCTCATTACAGATGGCTGTGAGCCTCCATGTGGTTGCTGGGAATTGAACTCAGGACCTCTGGAAGAGCAGCCAGTGCTCTTAACCACTGAGCCATCTCTCCAACCCTCAACACTATACTTCTTATGTCAGTCCACAGCTGAAGCTTGTTCACCAAGACAGGAAAAGACTGAGTAGATCTTCAGTAAGTACAGGCTGAAGTACACCACCAATCCAACAAGAAAGGCACGACAAGTCTGCCTTGCAGATAAGAAACCTAAACCCCAGAGAGGCCAGGTACTGGCACCAAGCACAGATGAACAGCTAGAACCTATATTTGAGTCCAGGTTGCTTTTTCTTTTATCTTAATTGTATGCGAGCTTTGTACCATGTATGTACCTGGAGCCTGCTGAGGTCAAAAGAGGGTGTGGACCCCCGGAACTGGAGAGTGGACAGTGATGAGCCATCATGCTGGCAATGGAACAGAAACCTGATCCTCTGGATGGGAAGTCAGTGCTCTTAACCATTAAGCCAGTGATCCAGCACAAACCAAGATTTTCTAAATCAGGGTTCCATTCTTAACTACTGCTCTGTGTTGTGGGAGTATCTTCCGCTGCCTCAGCCAATAGTCGCTGAAGCACGAGCCCACAGTGCAGCGGGGAGCGACTTCCACTCCGTCAGCCAATAGCCGCTGAAATACCAGCCCACTGGGGCGTGGTATATTTCTCTTCTAAAAAGAGACACAGATCCAGATCAGGCCCTCTTGGTTCCGGTGCTTGGTTCCAGCGCTTGGTCCCGGCTCCTGCTCCCGGCTCCTGCTCCAGCGACTATTGGCTGAGGCAGCGGAAGATACTCTCACAACAGCTCAGTGTCTTTCTCCCCTGCCTGCACCTGCCCCACCACAAAAAAAAAAAAAAAAAACAGAAATAATGCAGGCCTGTTGGTGATAGACAGAAACCACAGCTACCCAGGAGACGAAGGCCGGAGGATCCTGAGTTCAAGGGCTATTTAATGAGTGTGTGTTTCCAAAACAAAAGAAGAGGTGGCTAAAGAGACATCTCAGTTTTGGGGAGTTTACCTAACATGCAAGAGGCCCTGGCTTCAATCTCTAGTGCCATACACACAAAAACTATTACTAACAGATAAACTTGGCATAATGGCACATACTTGTAATTTTAGCATTTGGAAGGTGGAAGCAGGAAGATCAGAAATTCAAGATTGTTCATAGCTACATAGCAAGTTTGAGGCGAGCCTGGGCTACATATTAAGCCCATGTCTCAAAAATAATTTTTAATAGCTTTTAGTTATAAGAATGTTAACCAGAGAGCTGGAGAGATGGCTCAGAGGTTAAGAGCACTGGCTGCTCTTCCAAAGGACCTGGGTTCAATTCTCAGCACCCACATGGCAGCTCATAACTGTCTATACCTCTGGCTCCAGAGTATCTGGCACCCTCACACAGACACACAGGCAAGCAAAACACTAATGCACATAAAATAAAAATTAAATCCACTTTTTAAAATAAAAGAATGTTAACAAGTTAGAAAATATAAAGAGAAATCCTATTTAAAATAGTAAAAAAAACAAGTGAAACAGCACTTACACATAAATGCCACAATTATAAGAAAAGTGAACCAAAAAATTAGAGAATAAAAACCAAATTTCTCTCTCTTCACACTAAGCACAGAAAATTAATTTGAGTTCTACGTGATTTTGCTTTGTTTTGAGACAAATTCTCACTATAGCGGCCAAGCTGGCCTTGAACTCCAGGTCCTCCTGCCTCCTTCCCCCAGGTGCCAGTGTCCAGGGCTGACCAGAGAGAATGCCGTGGTTGTGAAGAGCTGGAATGTTAGAGCAGAGACAGGGCTGAGGCAAGGAGACAGCCGTGAGCTGGAGGCCAGCCTGCTTTAGAGTGAGGCACAGACGGGTTTGAGAATACACAGCAAGGAAAAAAATGTGTCTCAATATTTTTTTATTAGAAGGACAGTGGCCAGTGAAATGGGAGATGGCTTATCATGTTCCAAGATGGCTAAGGCTACATAGAGATAGTCTGTATCAAGAAATTTTTTTAAAGAAGGAAAGGAAAAGAAAGGAAAGGAAAGGAAAGGAAAGGAAAGGAAAGGAAAGGAAAGGA